CTATGGGCCGCAGGAATATAATGTAAGAACTCAGCTGGTTATGGCAAGGCCACCTCCTGAAGGGATCAAGGAATTCCCTCAGAGGAAGCCAAATCTCAGGGAGTATTTGGTGCTATGTGGCTTTTATATACTAACTGTCTTCTCTTATGAATATCATGTGTGCCTTCATAGTTTTCCCAATTGACTTTTTCCCTACAAATTGCTAACAGTGGACTGATCACTGTTTGGACATATACATTTGAGGTATTTGGAGAACAGCCTCAGGAAAGGCTTCCTTCCCTCAGGCCCATCTGTTTCTCTCTTTTTAGCACTGGAATCAGATATCTCCCTTAGCTACATCCAAGGACAGACAAATAACATTGCAGACCACCACATGCTAGTCTTCTGAATTAAGGTAAATTCCAGATGGAGACACCACCTAAGTCAGGTGGAACTTAAGTACATAGCTTCATGCAAATTAAGCTCCAACCCTCCATGTAACAGTCCTGGCTGTCCTGAAACTCACTCAGTGGCTCAGGCTGGCCTCCAACCTGTGATGGCCTTCCCTCATCCTCCTGCCTCTGCCTCTCAAGTGCTAGGATTAAAGGCATGCGCCACTACTGCTGGGCTGAAATGTCATCTGCTGAGTAATGCACAGCCATTACAATAAAAAAAACTCTCAACAAGCTGATGAGTGCAAAAGATGAACAGCCAGGAATGAAAGGAGATGGATTGCAGAGGACCATTATCCCTCACTGATAAACTGCTTCCTAGTTATAGATCCATAGAAGGAAAGAGTCATTTCCTCTATTGAGCACGTACTGCTCACCCAAGGTCACATTTCCAATCCAACTGTCACACATAAGACTCTGATTGAATGAGTCACACATCACATCCCAAAGACATGAATATGGAAAAGTGATGGGAAGAGGAGGTGTTATGTAGTTCCTGACCCCTGGGAAAGTTCATTGACAATCCAGTTATAATTAAGAAGTTTACTGATTACTGCTAGAACAATGATCTCTGAGCCAACCTACAGATTGCCATGAAAAAGAGGATAAGGGGAGGATTTTAAGGGAAAAAGACACAAGCAGAATGAACACTGGTTTCTGCACAAGCTAGCCAGAGCCATTTTGCTCTGCCAAAATTAAGTAATCAAAGCAACTTCAAAATGGTCCTTGACTATCTACATAAGCAGGTAACAGAAGCCAAAAGAAGTTAGCAATATCATAAGACATAGATGGCCACACTATACATTTCTGGGTTGGAGGTCACCTAGTCAGGCCTACTGGGAAATTATCTTGCAGGGAGGGACTGGAGTCAGAGACAAACAGCTAGGGAGTACCAAGATGGATGCCTAGCACAAAATGGAGAAGTTTCTTTAGTCATTGCAAAGGGGTGGATTTTTAAGGAAGTGGAAGGTATATAAAAATTGATGTGGGGAGAGCATAGGCAAAATGCATTATATACAAGTAGAAGATTGTAAGATTTTGATTGAAAATTTGACAGAGAACATTAGCTTTTAACGATAAAAATACATCACAACTACAAACGGATTATCTAAGACATACAGTGGATGCCAGCATGTCATTCTTGTGCTGGCATTGAAAACACTGTGTAGCCCAGGGAGGCCTAAAATGAGTGTTTCACCTGCTTCTATATTCTGCTTAGCAGGGACCGCCTGTGTTCTTACCTTATAACTTCTTCTTGTGTCATTTCTACCCCTATTCCTTTTTTGTTTTGATTTGTTTTGTAGTTTGGAGGGCACTGTTTTTCCCGCCTTTATTGACATGCATAAATTGTACTCAATTCTAAGTTTCACTGCACTGATGACATTTAACCTTCCGGTCCTTCTCTTGTACCATTTTCCTCCTCTTGCCGGTCCCCCCACCACCTTCTTTTCCCAAGTATTCCATTTTCTACTTTCTTTTTTTTTTACTTTTTTTACTAAGAAATTATGGCCAAACACCCTAATAGTTGTGCCAGAAATCCCATCCAAGGACTAAGGAATCTGGATGCAGACATCCATGGCTAGGCCCCAGGTGGAGCGC